TTGGCCCCTGTGACCAAGAGGGAAAAATCGCGTTATAAATGGGGGGGGGGGGGGGGGAGGGGGGGTGTGCATCACGTATTTGAATCCACTGGGGCGAAGGAGGGCAATGGCCGGGTACAAATAACCATTATTATATGTCATAGTCTATGAGAGACAACAGCAATGAAGCCACGCACAGCAGCAGTTCTGGTTACAACTCCATTCTCATACCATGTGCCACCCCCGTCATCCCTTTAGTCGCGAAGATGTGAGAATATACTACATACAACTATTCCCGCCCCAAGGGGTAGCATACCACAATTATCGACGTCGCAGAGTAATCGACAACAGCCGTAATCTCGTCCAGGTAGTTCGCACACGTGATACCACGAAGCAACATGTTTGCGGCGACATCCTGAGATCCCGACGACCTGGACAAATTGCTCTGCTACTGTAGTCTATTCCTCGTTCGCTGTTCCGCAATGCTCTACCTCCGGGAGTCCCTTTCGCGGCACACATGGCAACTACACCCGTGGATCACCCCCCCCGATTGTAGTTCAGAATAGTCTACATTGCAGATAGATAGCTATTCCGACACGTGTATCGTTTGACAGTAGCGTTGAAGTGCCGCGGGTTGCTTTGTACTGTGGAATCATGTGTGAGGTTGTCTCGCCCGTGGGAGCCGCGTAGGTGACTAGCCATGCAAGGTCATGACGCCAAGTGGGCTCCCTCCTGTCCTGCTGTTATTTAGGGGTCCACCCACGGTTGAGAGGGGTTCCGCGTGGTAGAGGGTTAGATATCGATTTCGCAACAACGTCACATGATGTCACCAACTGTATACTTCGTTTCGAAATGTTCAATGCTCCTCATACCATTTGCTTGCGACCTCGGCGCGTATTATTCGCGTTGGCATTCTGAAGTTGAGGTTGGGTCGTGATGTCGGCTTATGCACGTTCTCCCCTCCACGGTCGCTTCGTTTCGCGTCGACTATAGGCAAGCAACGGTGCCCCCGCCGTCTCGACGGGAACAGCACAGGTGAAGGAGGAACAGCAACCGCCTGCACGCGCCCCCGCGCCTTCGTTCTTCGGCGCGGCCTCCCCGCCTTTCGTCCCTCTCCCGACGCCGACGTCGACCGATGTCAAGAGTGGGCTTCATCTAGGGGTGCCGCCGGGTACACCGTACATGGGCAGCCCGTACATGGACATGCCGTACCTTACACACCACGGCACCACCTTCGGTGGAGGCAGCATGACCGGCGCTCACGTGGGAAGCCCCGTTGGGCAGCACCCTCATGCCTTGGACTTCGCCAGAGGCCAGCACTTCCCCCCCCCCCCTCCCGGAAGCTTCGTTGTTGGCGGCATGGGCCAGTACGGTGGCGCGGGCGGGCAGGGAGGCGTATTCGGCGGCAGCGTCGCTGGCGGCATGGGGTTCGCAGCTGGAGGAGGGGGTTTCCACCACCCCGGTTTTGGGCCGGGATATGGGAGTTTCTCCAACGGCGGCGGTCACGCAGAGATGCCCGTGTTCGGCGGGCCGGGTGTCCCAGGACCGGGACACCTTCCATATGGATGGTCCCATGCTGGCGGCAATGCGCCAGCACTGACTTGGCAGACCGGCGTCGCGGGGTCACCCTCCTTACCGGTACCCAAGGCCGAGCCCGGCCACGAGCAGGCACTTGCCCCCGTCCTGCCGCACACGCCCGCGGCAAAGTCCACCCACGCGCCGACCACCGTAGAAGTACCTAAGGCCGAGCCCGGTAAAGAGCAGGCACCCGCCCCCGTCCTGCCGCACACGCCCGCGGCAGAGTCCATCCATGCGCCGACAGGAGACACTAATCCTCCCGCAGGTGATGCCCTTTCCTACATACGGACAGACCCATGCCCTCTCGCGCCGTTTGGTGTGCGGCGGAACGACGCGGCTCTGATAACCTACCTCCGCCCCTGTTCCTCGGCCGACCTTTTTCTGCCGCGGCGTAGTTGCGACACAGCGCGGATCAGACGCTATGGCTGTTGGGCTGTAACCCAAGGTCCTGCAACTACAGTACTACACGCCCTGTCTCACCACCAACTTCCTGCTTCCCCCCCTGTCCCAACGCATGCATGAATACCACCAGAGACCCCCGCGATATCGGCGCAGGTGCAGCTGTGTAGGCAGCTTACAGGTGTGGCTAGCCCGACGGTCGGGCGCATGCGCAAGACCCTGGGCGAGTTCGCCAACCTGCACGATATGATCGGGAGAAAACGACAATGGCAAAGGTTTCTCAGGGATGTGGTGGCGGCCGATGGCTGGTCGAAGACCAGCGAGAACAGGTGAGGAGACTTGTTTGAATTGCAAGTACTGAAATACTCAAGTAACAATAATTTCAGTTTTTAACACAGAAATAATTGTCAGTTGAGTATTTGTGTACT